CTCAGCGAGTCCAGCCCCCGCCCCAAAGCAGGACCAGCCCGACTGAGCAATCCCAGCCGGGACTGAAACACCTCTAGGGCTGGAGGTTCCACCCCCGCCCTAGGGAACCCAGCCCAGCACCTCCCCACCCGCCATGGGGCACAGCTTGTTCTAATATCCAACCTAGAACCCCCCATTTGTGTGTGTCCCATGGTAGCCCCAGGCCTGGCCCTGAACCCTACAGCAAGAAGCCAGCCTGGCCCCGGGGCTCACAGCGCAGGGTAACACCGACACATGTAAACAAAGCCTGTTGAGCACCAGGAAGGCCTGTTCAAATTCCCTAGGGACCCTGAGGCTCGGCGATGGCTTGCGTGCACCAGTCGCTTGTGGTGTGGGAGCCCAACATTAGCCCTTCCGCATTACAGAGGCTGCATCTACACAATGAAGAGGGGAGGGGGCTCGTCCCGTTCCGGTTCGGCCCCGTGGCCCTGCCTCACGCCGCCTTCCCTTCCAGAGTACGAGGACGACAAGATCTCGCTGCCGTTTGTCGTGACGGACCTGCGAGGGCGGAACCTGAAGCCACTGAAGGAGAGAGCGATATTCCAGGTCAGGCCCGGCCTCGGGCTGGGGGTGGGTATGGGGGGCGCTGTCGGCTTGAAATCCGGTGAGCCACCATTTGCCGGCTGGCCTGGGCAGCCCTGGTTTCTGGCCCCCGATGGGGCGGGCCGGGCACAGGCTGGGGCGGGTGTCTCTGGAACCTGAAGCCACTGAAGGAGAGAGCGATATTCCAGGTCAGGCCCGGCCTCGGGCTGGGGGTGGGTATGGGGGGCGCTGTCGGCTTGAAATCCGGTGAGCCACCATTTGCCGGCTGGCCTGGGCAGCCCTGGTTTCTGGCCCCCGATGGGGCGGGCCGGGCACAGGCTGGGGCGGGTGTCTCTTCAGCCGCAGCTGTTCCATAGCGACGTCTCCCTGGGCAGCAGGTCCCCACGTGCGCGCTGGCTGGCGCCGAGTGGTGCGTTTTCAGGCTTCCATTCTCACTGGCAGCTGGGGCAGAGCCCGGCCCTGCTGGCCTGGCTCCAGTCAGGGGAGACCGAAGGGTCCCCTCTCGACGGGCTGGGGGCAGATCTCCGCCCCGCCGGGGGGGTTACGCAGGGAGACGCGTGAGGCCGGGGAGGGCAGCGTGCACTAGTAGGCAGCACGCTGGCCTGGGACCCGGGAGACCTGGCTTGTAGCCTTGGCTGTGCTTCTGGGCGCCCCCGGGTGGGTGCCCCCTTGTCCCGTTGCCCTGTTAAGGACTCTGGTGAGCTCTGAGTGTGGGGAGGGGGGGATCCCTGCTCTGAAGGACCCGGCCCCCAGGGCTTCAGGGGGGTAGCACTGTGGGCCCGCCCGCCTGGGGCACCTCGTCCTGTCGGCGCGGCTAGAGGCTCCAGCGAGCGCCCCG